TCTACAAAATTACACGAAAATCGAAGCCCGAGATCTCCAAATGGGGACCTAAAATTACGCTGAAATGTGCTTGGCTGTAATCATTTATACTTATTTTCTGAAGATCTGAAGAAAAACCTGCGGGTATTAATCTATATTTGGCGCGAGTTAAGATTTTCTGGAGCCCATAATCAATGATTTTTGCATTATTTATAGCTAATTAACATATTTCTTGAGAGGCGCTAAAAGTAAACAATTTCTTTCTGACTAACATATCTCAGATGAAAGAAACTACCACAGCTAGTAATACCCTTTTTGTAAATATAGTCGTAATGTTCCTTTCCTGACACGCTGAGAGAGCTTTGTTTTTGAATGTTATGCCACATTTATTCAGTCTGACCAGATTCATAATGTCACGAACTTGTATATTTCAAAAATATCAGTACCAGAAATCAGAATTCAGAAAGACCGATTATTCTTTCCTTGATTCAGTTGATGGATTTAGTTGATTGATTCAAAAAACTATAAGTATAATAGAACATTCCATGTGTTTCCATTGCCCCTATTATATAGGGCTAGAATTTTTATCAATATGTTCTATTTTTCTGTGGCGACGGCATATTAACAAAATACGACACAAAAATGTACGTTCGAATTTATGATTTTATTTATGAAGTTTGAATTGAATTTACTTAACGCGAAATAAATACTAAAATAGGAATTTTCTATGCTGGGTTAGTAAAAGAAAAAGCATAATTTTAATTGTATGTTATTTCGATGAATACTATAAAAAAATTATACGCATTGTTTATATAAATTAGCTAACATTTACACATTTGTTACGATAGTAGCGACGTTTGTTTTAGCCATGTAACAAAATAAACTAAGCATTCTGATCAGTTATTTAACAAAAATATCAAACTTGTGTCTTGTGAATTTTAATTCACAAACTTTTGAAATTTATTCTCAGCTATGGAGCTCACGAATATATTTTTTTTTCAAAGAAAAATATTGAAATTCGATTATTTATAAAATTGATATTTTTGTTAAAAATGTTAGCTAATTTATATAAACAATGCGTATAATTTTTTTATAGTATTCATCGAAGTTACATACAATTAAAATTATGCTTTTTCTTTTACTAACCCAGCATAAACTATGATTCCTATTTTAGTATTTATTTCGCGTTAAGTAAATTCAATTCAAACTTCATAAATAACATTCTGATATGTCGGTCATAAATTCGAATGTACATTTTTGTGTCGTATTTTGTTAATAGGCTATGCCGTCGCCACAGAAAAATAGAACATATTGATAAAAATTCTAGGCCTATATAGGGGCAATGGAAATACGTGGAATGTTCTATTATACTTATAGTTTTTTAAATCAATCAACTAAATCAATCAACTGAATCAATGAAAGAATAATCGGTCTTTCTGAATTCTGATTTCTGGTATATTTTTGAGATATACAAGTTCGTGACATTTATATGAATCTGGTCAGACTGAATAAATGTGGCATAACGGCAAAAACAAAGCTCTCTCAGCGTGTCAGGCAAAGAACATTACGACTATATTTACAAAAAGGGTATTACTAGCTGTGGTAGTTTCTTTCATCTGAGATATGTTAGTCAGAAAGAAATTGTTTACTTTTAGCGCCTCTCAAAAAATATGTTAATTAGCTATAAATTATGCAAAATCATTGATTATGGGCTCCAGAAAATCTTAACTCGCGCCAAATACAGATTGATACCCGCAGGTTTTTCATCAGATCTTCTGAAAATAAGTATAAATCATTACAGCCAAACACATTTCAGCGTAATTTTAGGTCCCCATTTGGAGATCTCAGGCTTCGATTTTAGTGTAATTTTGTAGACCGAACAAGAAGCAAAAACCGGTGTGCCGTCAAGTCGCTGCCGTTTATTCACAATTTATTCAAATGTTCTTATTTTTTGGAACAGGGAACCTGAATTGTATCTTAACTTGTTGATCTAGTTGAGATTTGGAAATAGTCAGGCGTTTTGACACAGCGCGGCTCTACAATTTACCGAAATTCAACCTTCGATTTTGCTTGAAATTAGCTCTGCACGGGTAAAATGAGTTTCGGCGTCTAGCGAAGCCATAAAAAAGAATTTTCAAAAAATAAATTTATTTTGGACATTTGTATACCAATGCCTTTCAAGACACAAAAAATAAAGGAAATCTATTTTCCGAAGTCAAAGTCATCGGACCGCTCTTAGCGGGACTGCCACTTAAGCTTCTTAACCCACTCAAATTGTAGAATAAATCCTAAAGTTTAATTATTGTGAACACAAAAATTTTTTATATTTGGCGACACAGTTTTTTTTAAAGAAATGTATCTCAAACGAAAATTTGGAAATTGTCATTGCTTAGTTGATAAACAAAATGTTTCAGACGATAAATTTGTCAACAATCACCTTTAGTTCATGTTCTTGTACAATACAATTTCTTGAACCTTCTGGCTGTATTTATTTCTAGTTTTTAGAATGACATGTTTATTTTTGCGCTTGAAATCTGGCTGTAAAGACGCACAATGAAGTCACTCCTTTTTACCGCCATTTTGAGCCTTCGGAAACGTTCGGAACAGCTTCTCATCAAGTTCGCAATACTATTACAGGTAAGGTTGACGCATGCGCAGACGTTTTTCCGCGGTGTTGTAATTATGTACTGTATAACGGTTTAAACGTAGGCCGTACAGCACACTGTCACTGCCACTGCCACTGAGCCGAAGGATAAACCGAAAATTCACTTCTCTCCATCACAAGCTTTAATGTCCAGTCGATCCGCTATATTGAAAGATGAGTACTTGGCTATTTTTTGGCAGGGGTAACGAAATATATCGGCTGTTCTCTACAGTAATCCACTAGTCAATTGAAACCCCGGCCCCCGACCCCCGGGAAAGAGCGAGGAAATTAACATTTTGACAATATTAAACTTTGGTAATTTCCCCGCCACCGGGGGAATATTGACTGTTAAAGTTACCGCCCCCATGGCCCGGCACTTTGCAAATTTTCATGACTTGGGAAATGGGAAATCGTTGAAGTATAAAATGTTGACAACATGTGAAGGCAATTCTTGATCTTAAACTTTGATCCGCATCAAAAGATACTGAATAAGTCTACGTTTCGACTATTTTGCAGCAGGGTGCGATAATTCGCGTACCAATGTACCGGAGGTACGCCAAATTTATGGTCTGGTACTTCTTTGTTTTTAGGCAAGTACCACGTAGGTACGCGGAAATTTGCTATTCGCGTACTTACATTTTTCTTCTAGCAATAACTAGCAAACCTGCCAATGTATTCAAAACCGTGAAAAACTTTAGCTGTACATGTATATTCCACGCATCCGACATATCTTGGGATGAAAAAAGCCAAAAGGTTATCATCGCGCTTCATCAAAAAAATTATCGTCATCGTCCGACTGAACAAAAATCGCTCGTGTGAGCGATTTTAAAATCGTCATCGTCAAACGATAATTTTATCGTTTTCGTTGTAGTGTGGACACTAACATTTTTTACAAGTTATCGTATCGTTATCGTCGTGTGGTGTGACCTGGGGCCTGGGCTTAATTGTCATTGCTCGGGACTCTACTGAAAATCGGGACTCTACTGAAAATCGGGAGTCGACTGAAAATCGGTACTCTACTGAAAATCGCCCACCAAAAAACTGCTCAAACCATGAAAAAAATATTCAAAAAAAATTTTATTTCCGACCTACCTACCCTAATTTTTTCGCGATATGAAACCGGAACCACAGGTTTCTTTTAGGCCTAATGAGGAAAACTACATTGTATGTAGCTGAGGTCAGACTGTTTGCACCCTCGGTAAATCCACTGTAAATGTGCGATCATGGCATTCGAGTCACAACGTCGACGCTTTGAAAAGTGAAAACTGTTATATTATGTTGTACAAATACCATAATTAAAGATTCGTTTGTACAAAATTGCCCATACACCTTTTGCTTTTGGACCAGTAAACTATACGTAGGTATAAAAACGCATGACTCGGAAGTAGTGTTAGGTACGTCTTGACTCTTTAAGTTTGTACCAGACAAGGTACGCGGCAAAAGTTGTCGAAGTACCAGTCAGGTACGGCTAAAAATATTGAATTATCGCACGCTGTGCAGTCATCATCAGGAAAGTGAAAATATATTCCTTTTTTTTAAGAAAAACTATGAGAAAACAATGATAAAACGGTTAAAAAGTTTATAAAATATCTTTTCTGACTTCGAAGATTCCGCCATGTTGCCACGACGATAAACATGTTCCAGTCCACTTTCGTACCAGCCGCGCATTAAAGTCCCGGCTATTGTCCCGGCTAATAAATTGACTTGTTATTTCCCCTGTACCCCGGAGGAAATGGTGCATTAAACCCGCGTTAATCCACGGCCATTCCCCCGTTAATTCCCCGCCCTGTCCCGGGGGTCGGGGGGCCGGGGTTTCAATTGACTAGTGCATAAGTGTTTCTTTATGCGTTGGCAATCGGAATATAATATAACTACATAAGCTTGATAGAGGTAAGATAACGAGTTTCACAATCTTATTTAAATACTATGGCTTAATGGCTTTTGGCAGTTTTGCATCATATGCATGTTTTCAGTAAAAGCCCCATTTTCCTACTTCCCCAACGTGTAAATTCGCGAAAAATCTTTATTAATAATAACAAAAATTTGTAATAGT